CACACACACACACACAATGGAATTCTACCCAGATGCTCCTCAGTGGACTAATGGAAAATGTGATACACACACACACACACACACACACACACACAATGGAATTCTACTCATCCATTAGAATGAATGATCTTGTACCATTCAAAAAGAAATGGAAAGACAGAAAAAATTATATTAAATGAAGTAAGCCAGACCCAAAGAAACATACATAGGTTGCATGGTTTCCCTAATTTGTGGTAGCTAGAATGTGCCTAAAAATCTACAAGGATTTTAATACATATGGTTGATTGGATTGTTTTTTCCAATTCTGCATTCACCCCTTATTCAAGAAATAAACATACTTCTTAATAGCTTCCTAATGTTTTTCATATGGTGTTTAGTAAATTCTATTTGTTTTGAATGAATGCTTTCAAATGAATGATTATCTCCCTTGATAGTTCGATTTTTGTTTCACTGTGCAACTTGTCATGTCTATGTAATCTTGCTTTATTTTTGCTCTCATTCTCTATTTCCTGTCACTTAGAAATTGGTGGCTATCAATTGAAATAAGAAGGAGTGGTGGAGAGAATCCAACATAAAATCTCTTCCACATGCTGTTGTAATTTGAGATCAAGGTTTCTTTTTTTTCATGAGATGAAATGCAACCTGGCCTTTCTAAGTTTTTTTTTTTTTTTTTGGTTTTAGGGTTTGGAGAGTTAGTTATTTTAAACACTGAATTCTGCAGGTCTGAAGACCTGATTATATTTCTACAGAAATGTTGAGTAACCAGAGACAGGTATTGAAGTACTGGGGCTCATTTAAAAATGTGTAGTTTTTACAAGCTTGTCTCAGACGCAAGCTGGACAGTTCTTAAGTGTTCTTTTGCGAAGTGTTGGCTTGAAAGTTTGTCCTTTTCTATTGGCCCTCTCCTGAATGTACTGAGCATTAACTTGGTAAGATTTTAGGTCAGTAGGTCCAAATTTCACATTCATTTTATCCATGTAATCTAATTTAAGATTAAAGTGAGTAGGCTTTATTTATTTTTCTTTTGCTTAATTAGACTTTCTTTCCTTGGGAATATAATTTTTCCCTTTCAAACTAACCACTAATTTTTGCTGATATTTCATTAATCCTTAATGATAATTGAGTGATTTTTCCTACCTATTTTCTTTTTTTTAAAAAAAAAACATGTCTTTCAGTTCTTTTTCTTCCTTCCTTCCTTCTTTCCTTTTTTCTTTCCTTTCTTTCCTTCTTTCTTTTTTTCTCTCTCTTTCTTTCTTTCTTGTATTTCTCATGTGGGAGTGTTAAAATATTGGCTCAAACTACACAAAGCTAATTGTATTTTACTGGCGTTTTCTGTGTGTGAATGTTACATTCACTCTGAGTTTCCAAAAAGCAAATAACTTAGACTGTTCTGGTTTGGCACATTTTCTTTTTCTAACCACTGTTGGGACTGAAACTGGGAACTGAATACAGCTTGAAATTTTGTGGTTTGAGTGCTAGAATTCAGGGCTAAACTGTCTGAAACTAGAAATGATTAATGTTGAAATGTTTTCATCCACTAAGTAAACCTGAAAAAAAATAATGAAATTTAATGCCAGGCAATCCATAATATTGCATGTGTTGTAAATTTATGAAGTTAAAAGAGAGGAAAGACTATATGAAGAGGCCTAAGGAATTAGAAATTAGTTATTATAGTTTAAGTGTTATTATTCAGACTGTAATACAAACAAAAATCCCAAACAAATTCAGATATTTCTTAATATTATGCATATAATGTTCAGTTTTCCCCAAGTGGCAATTGTATTTGGCTAACTTTTCGAGTTTGAAGCATGTTTCTTTAAAGATGGAATAATAAATCAAAACTTTACATTTTTATGCTACTTTACATTTTATGCTACTTTGCTCAATATTTTCATAAACATCATACTAATTAAAATGCTGACCTGTTTGATCTTACCACTAAAAAAAATTACAAAGCATCTCACAGTTTTAAACTTTTAAAATCTGAGAACATGTCCAAAACTTGCTGTATAGATGGTATTTATGGGTCAGTTCTCTGTTCTGTTACTCAGAATCTGAAGTGTTTGTCCATTTTCAAGGTCCTCTTTCAACTTGAAGTTTACCTTTTTCTAATATGCAATGATTAATGTGGGCCTTGTTTTTGATGATTATAAAAGGTCCATATAAGTATTGGGAAGTGAAAAGAGAGGGTTGGTGGAGGAACTTGACTTGTATCTTTATTTTTTATAGATTAGTGTGAATTACAAGTTTATAGTTATCTAGTTAAGGTTTATGGATTTAACTAAACTATCTCATAAAACTGGCAAGTGGCATAAAAGATTCCTGCAAAGAAACTGTAGATTGATGACTATAGTAGTTATAAAAATATAAGTAAATACATACTTTTAAATGTGAGAGAAGCTGGTCCTTCTATGACTAATGAGGTAAAAATCAACCACAATAGAATCCCAAACTGAAATTATAAAGAATATAATTTGGTCTATGCAGATTTATTCATTATTGATAATATAACTTTTTAATATTGTTCCTCAAAATACTAGTTAATGACAGTAGAAATTAACATTTGGGACAGGAAGGCAGACTTGATTAGATTTACTATGTAAGAATGTTAAAATATTTCTAAATGTTGAACTTCATATCACATGACACTTTGAAGTCATGTGATACAAAATTCATTATCTGGAAAAATTTTGCTAGAATTAATGATAAATTGGATTTTTCTTTTTTTCTTTCCCCTCCCTCCCTCCCTCCCTTCCTTCCTTCCTTCCTTCCTTCCTTCTTTCCTTCTGTGTTGTGCCAGTCCTGGGGTTTAGATTCGGGGCCTGGGCTGTCTCTGAGGGTTTTTTTTTTTTTTTTTTTTTTTTTTTGCTGAAGACTAGCACTCTACCACTTGAGCTATAGCTCTACTTTCAGCTTTTTCTGAGTAGTTTATTTGAGATAATAGTTTCATGGACTTTCCTGTCAAGTCTGACTTCGAACTGTGATCCTCAGATCTCAGCTTTCTGAGTAGCTAGGATTATAGGCATGAGCCACCATTGCCAGCTAACAACTACTTTTTGTATGTGTATATGTGTGTGCCACTGAGGTAAAGGTATTGCCAGAGAAGATACATTTCCCCAAAGAAAAGACTTCCTGAATATAAAGCAATGTATATGAGAGGATTTCCTGCATTAGTACTGTTTTGATATAATAAGAGTTTGGGTTGCATGTGAGTGGCATGTACCTGCCTAGAGTTAGAACACTTTCTAAGCATTCATAGAACCCTGGGCTCAATCCACAGCATCACAAAGTAAATAAAAACCAAATTATAGACTGTGTATATGTATGTGTTGGAATATATCAAGTGGCAGGAAACATTTGTATAGCTCATTTAATGACAAATTTACCTAAAAGGGAAGAAAATAGTACATATTAAACTTGAGATCATGGTCCGAATGCTGAACTTTTGGGGAAAAACACATTGTAATTGACATGCATTAAAAACAACAACCTAAGATAGATCCTTTGCTTAATGGATAGATTAGCAAAGGGTAGCATGATGTAGTATAAAATATAGTAAAAATGATCTTTGTAGAGTATAGATGGATATTCTGGTAACATTCTTTCAGCTTTTCCATTGCATTATTGCATTATCCTTAAGCAATATAGAAGTAACATAGAAGATGATGTCAGATATACAAGAAAGTATGTTAGGATGGTATCAATTTTGCTAATTTTTATAAAAACACATCTTAGGGATGACATTGTCCAAAAAGAACTGTACTCTTTATCTGACATATGCAACTGTAACCCATTTGTACATGACCTTTATAATAACAGTAAAAAGATTAAAATAAAACATTGTTCAACACAAAAAATAGCTCATCTTAGTCCATTAGTATATACCATTTTACTTTAACAAAACACCAGAGGCTGAGTACTTCATAAGGTACAGAGATTTGGCTCAGAATTCTGGAAGCAGAAGGCTCATACAACTGGCACTGGCATCTTGCTGACCCTCACCTCCCAGCTTCGTCCACAATATGATGGAGAATCACCTAGGGAAATGGCCTGTGCAGAATGATAAAGAACATGAAGTAGCTGTGATTTATAATAATCTTCCCTGATCAGAGCTAATTCATTCTACAAGAATAACAATTCCTCCCAAGGAATCCCTATAGTTAAAAAATGAATATATGAGTACTCTAGCCTGTCTTAATTATAGTTTTTCATCTGAATTACAAAACATAGACATTGCCAATTCCTTCCAAGAATAGAACATAACTAATACCAATCTAGATGCTTAGGGATAAAGTTAATTTATTACATACAATGGATGTGTTAGGGTAGCAGGGCTGAATTCTTTTCTGAGGCTAGTTGGGACTGTTTTTTGCAGCAAGTTCCTAAAAGGATTTGCTTTGTCTGGCTTACTGTGTTTATATAAATTTTTAAAATTAGATTACAGGTCCACCAGGTTGCGGAAAAACCCAGTTTTGCATAATGATGAGTGTACTGGCCACATTACCCACCAACATGGGAGGTTTAGAAGGAGCTGTCGTGTACATTGACACAGAGTCTGCATTTAGTGCTGAAAGGTAGGCTATTTTATTATTTTCCATTATGTTGCTTTACTTTTATGACCTTCATACAGTATGGAGCATTTACAAATAGCTTAACATTTATTGTATTTTTAAGATTAAAAAATGTCACATGTTTAAAGGAATAAAAAAAACACAAGAAGCAGTTTATTTTTGTCTTTTCTATCCTTTTCTTGATGGTATAATGGGTTTCTGGGTTTTACAGAAGGTTTGGAATGTAGAAGGTAAAGCAGTTTTTGAGGAATGCTGGCAGAAAATGGGGAAAGAAAAAGACTAACAAGAAAGGGAAAAGATCAGCTGCTTTGAAAGTACTTGCTAGTTGGAAGTAAAATATTAGTGAATAGACATTAACTAGGATGTGTATACATTTGGAGATTGATTCGATTCTGCTGGTCAAAGTATACTTAGGAATAGTACTTGGACTCCTGTAATTGTATCATTATGAATCAGATCTTTCCTTTATTTCTCTCTAAACAGTACCATTTAGAACAAAGTGGATCTGATCAAGTAAATTCCAAATTGATTATTTTGCTTAGAGCTTATTATTTCTTTTGTTTGGTCTGTCTTGATTTTCTCTTCTTTTTGAGTATATGTTATCGGCTTATCAACTTTTGGAGTTTGTTATACCTTTGCATCATTAAAAAAGCTAAGTCCAGTAACTGACACATAGTAACTGTTACTCCAGATTTTGAAATTCAGTGGCTATTTCTTTACAAAAGGAATAAGAATTCCCTAAGAAATGACTGCTTCTCAATATAGAGTGGGAAATTTTTTTTTTTTTTTTTGGTCGGTTGTGGGGCTTGAACTCTGGGCCTGGGCGCTGTCCCTCAGCTCTTCAGCTTAAGGCGAGCGCTCTACCACTTGAGCTACAGCGCCACTTCCGGTTTTCCAGTGGTTTATTGGAGATAGGAGTCTCACGGTCTCTCCTGCCCGGGCTGGCTTTGAACCTCGATCCTCAGATCTCAGCCTCCTGAGTAGCTAGGATTACAGGCTTAAGCCACTAGCGCCCGGCTTTGGAGTGGGAAATTTTTGAGTCTAAAACATTATACTAGATAGTAAAGAAGTAAGTAAAATTTGCAGGCCAAACAACTCAAAAGTCAACCTGAAGTAAGATCAAATAAGCTGAGTGTCAAGAATAAGAAAGGAATTAAGGCTGGGCACTAGTGGCTCACGCCTGTAATCCTAGTTACTCAGGAGGCTGATATCTGAGGATCTCTGTTCAGAGCCAGCCCAGGCAGGAAAGTCCATGAGACTCTTATCTCCAATTAAAAATGACAAAAAAAGAAAGGAATTAAGCATGAACTACTTAATTCCATTAGCCTATAATGATATTAAGAGTTAAAAAGGAACTAATTAATTAGCAGTTCTGGAGAAGCTACCTATTATTTTGATTATTATTATTTATTTTTTTCTTTTTTGTCAGTTGTGGAGCCTGAACTTTGGGCCTCGGCGCTGACCCTGAGCTCTTCAGTTCAAGGCTAGTGCTCTACTGCTTGAGCCACACAGCCACTTCCAGCTTTTTCTCCTTATGTGGTGCTGAGGAATCAAACTCAGGGCCTCATGCATGCAAGGCAAGCACTCTACTATTGAGACATCTTCCCAGCCTATTTTGATAATATTAAAAAAAATCCTCTTCTATATGAACTGTATTACTGAAAAACAAATAGCTCTTTTTATGGAAGGATTCCAGTAATAAGTGAAAAAGAATGGTAGAATATCCCCAAACTACAAGTCCAAATAATCTAATAGACCTAGGCGTTGAACATCAAAGGATGCTAGAATTATGCAAAAACATTGAATGTCATTGAGCTCCCTCCTGCTAGAAGAAAAACTAAATAGGAATAAGATCAAGCCTTCAGACCAGCTACCAGTTTACATAATAGAGGAGTGAGAAACAAACTGCTCTGGAGAGATGCAATCAACAAAGTACAAACTGTGGGAAATGTCAGAACAAAAAACCTGGTGTCTTTAATGGAGAAATGATAAGATCAAGATGAAAAAAGGAGGAGGAACCTTAGAAGTAAGACAGATTTAAAAGTCTTATCAGTCAGTTGCTGGGTGAAATACTTGTTTGGATTTTGATAAATAATTGGGAGAGAAAAAAACTTAAAAAAAAATATTTCTCTACTAGGAGGCTGACATCTGAGGATTACGGTTCAAAACCAGCTGGGGCAGGAACGTCTGTGAGACTTTTATCTCCAATTAGCCACCAGAAAATAGGAAGTGGCTCCAAGTGGTAGAGTACTAGCCTTGAGAAAAAGAGCTCAGGTACAATGTGCAGGCCCCGAGTTTAAGCACTGTGGTCTCATGGACTTTCCTGCCTTGGCTGGCTTCAATCACAATCCTCAATCTCAGCCTCCTGAACAGCTAGAATTATAGGCAAAAGCCACCAGTGCCTGGCTCAGATCTATCTATCTATCTATCTATCTATCTATCTATCTATCTATCTATCTATCTATATTTTTTTTTAACTGTATTTTTTTGTCTTTTCTTTTTTTTTTTTTTTGGTACTGGGGATCGAACCCAGGACGTTGCACTTGCTAGGCAAGCGCTTTGTCACTGAGCTATCTCCCAGCCCTCAGATACATATTTTTTTATGGGGAAAATGTACTCCTCCTACCCCACATACTTTTTCCTCTCTGAAGATGTCGTTTTCATCACCAGCAATCTTCCTGTAGATATCTTGCCGAGCCACCTCAATATGTGAGGAAGAAAGGAAAAATGAGGGGCAAAAATCATCATAATAATTATGATGAGGTGCCTGGGGCCTGTTAATTGTTGGCTGGATAAAATTGAAGACTGTCATAGAAAGGGTGAAGTAGAAATGGATGTTGGGTTGGTAAGTCACAGTTTGAACCACAGTGTAGAGCATTCCGGGACTTTGGGAAGAAGGAGATCAGAGAAATATGAGACTTAAAGAGGAATATATTTTAGCTTGTGTTTTAGTACTGTCTCCATTTTGTGCTTACAAAGCAAGCTAGCTATCTGTTCAAATGAGAAAGTGAAGGGTTAATATGAGGGAACACTAAAATACTCAAGAAGAGTGAATCTGGGGCTGGAAAGGTGGCTCAGTGGTAGAGCACTTATCTTGCATGCACGAGGCCCTGGGTTCGATTCCTCAGCACCACATAAGAAAAAAGCCGGAAGTGGCACTGTGGCTCAAGTGGTAGAGTGATAGCCTTGAGCTGAAGAGCTGAGGGACAGCACCCAGGCTCAGAGTTCAGGCCCCACGACCAGATTCCCCCCTGCCCCCCTCCTCTCCCCAATAAAAGAAAAGTGAATCTAGGTATAAGTGATCCAAGTAGACTATAGCTAGATATCTTTGTATTAAGAAAGAGCAAATGAGGGCTGGGAAGGTGGCTCAGTGGTCCAGTGCTTGTCTTGCATGCATGAGGCCCTGGGTTCGATTCCTCAACACCACAAAAGCAGAAAAAGCTGAAAGTGGTGCTGTGGCTCAAGTAGTAGAGCACTAGCCTTGAGCTGAAGAGCTGAGGGACAGTGCCCAGGCCCAGAGTTCAGGCCCACAACTGACAAAAAGAAAAAGAAAGAAAGAAAGAGAAAGAAAGAAGGAAATTAAGAGCAAATGAGCTGGACACCAGGGGCTCATGCTTATAATCCTAGCTACTCAGGAGGCTGAGATCAGAGGATAATGGTTTGAAGCCAGCCTGGGCAGGAAAGACCATGAATCTCCAATTAACCACCAGAAAACTGGAGGTGGTGCCTGGCTCAAGTGGTAAAGCACTAGCCTTGAGCTGAAGAGCTCAGGGACAGCACTCAGGTCCAGAGTTCAAGTCCTACAACCACAACCACCACCACCACCACCACTACCAACAACAACAAAAGAAAGAATAAATGGGTTCAATTTCCAGTACCAAAAACCAAAATGGGGGATGGGGGTTGGGAAGAAAGGAGGAATAAATTAAAACTATTTGTTTAAACTACATTAAAGAGGGGCTGGAGGCATGGCTCAAGTGATAGAATACCTACCTAGGAAGCATGAGGCCTTGAGTTTGAACCTCAGTACCACTACCAAAAAAAGGGTAAAATTCATGAAATAGCTTGAAGTGGTGGTGCATGCCAATAATCCTAGCACTAGAAAGGCTGAACCTGGAGGACTTTGATTTTGAGGACAGCTTGGGCTACATAGTGAGTCCCTATTTAAAAAACAAATCAAGTGCAATAGTCATGTCCTGGTGGCTTACGCCTGTAATCCTAGCTACTGAGGAGGCTGAGATCTGAGGATCATGGTTCAAAGCCAGCCCAGGCAGAAAAGTTCTTGAGACTCTTATCTCCAATTAACCACCAGAAAACTGGAAGTGGTGCTGTGGCTTAAGCAGTAGAGAGCTCGCCTTGAGTTGAAGAGTGCAGGGACAGCGCTCAGGCCCAGAGTTCAAGCCCCATGACCAACAAAAAAAAGAAAAGAAACAGGATCCTCAGATCGCAGCCTCCCAAGTAGCTAGGATTACAGATGTGAACCACAAGATCCCAGCTTGCGCATAAGATTCTTATCTCTAATTAACCACAGAAAAGCTGGAAGGAGAGCTGTGGCTTATGTGGTAAAGTGCCAGCTTTGAGTGGAAAAAAACTTAATGGACAGTGCCTAGGCCCTGAACAAGCCCCACTATGGCACAGGAAATAGAACAAAATACCAAATCCCAACAATGCATTAGCTAGTTTATTTTACACATCTTTTAGAAAATAATACAAGATGGGATGTTAATGTATATATGAATTATACCTCCAGACTGTTTAAAAATTAAATAATGAGTCAGGTGCTGGTGGCTCACACCTGTAATTCTAGCTACTTAGGGGGGCTGAGATCTGAGAATTGGGATTTGAAGCCAGCCTGGGCAGAAAAGTCCCTGTGAGCCTCTTATGTCCAATTAACCACTCAAGAACCAGAAGTGGCTCTGTGGCTCAAGTGGTAGAGTGCTAGCCTTGAGTACAAAGAGTGCCCAGACCCTGAGTTCAAGCCCTACAACCGACTAAAATAAATA